GGCGCTCGGTAACATGTAATCTGTGTCGCATAGCGCGTGCAAAGCCCAGCAGCTCGCGGGAAATTGAAGCCAGTCAGGCTCTCAAGCACAGAGCTTTTTCCAGATGACTGGTCGCCGACAACAACAAGCTATCTCCAGGTCAGTCTTTTCTCATGGAACGAGAAGTAACAAAGAAAAGTTAAGAATACTTGTGGCAAAGGGACGATAGCTCCAATGTTGAGCCCTCTAAGCTTGTCTATTTTGGTCAGTATGGTCTCATTACAAAGGCTGATAGCCATGGTTGCGACTGCTGTGAGTGGAGCTTGGGTTTAACTTCGCAATGTGGGAAAGGGCAAGGCAGATTAAAACCTGTGAATTGTTCTCTTTGAAATGGACAAAAGTAGTGGTCAATACCTCGGTCTGTCCAATCCTTTCATGCTCAGTGGACATCACCGCGTGAGGCATAGCGCTGCGCATGTTGAGACAAAGGACGGCTGAGCAAAGTGGTTGTGCGATGGCGCAAGCGCCGGTTGCTGATCTGGCAGTCTTGGCAGCTTGAGGCCAGGGGGGCCGTTAATGTCTTCCTAAGCGCGCATTTTATTTTTGGCGATCCGAAAGGAGTTAGGAGCGGGGAGGGTTGAAATGATGGCCCAGCATGATAATACGCCGCCTTAGCCGTTCCGCCATCACTTGTCCGCACCATGGAAGCACAGTCCACAAGCGTCCATTAAATTTCGAGGCTCTGGCTAGGCAAATGATGACTCCAACTGGCTGTATCTGAAGGCAGTTAAGAGGTCTCCTGCTTCAGGTGCAATTTCCTATATCGCTGTCCTAACACACCGCAAATCACCCTCTCACTACATTAACACCTTGAGCCAGATGCGTAGCGTCCAAACAAGTATGATGAATTCGCCATTCTGAAACGTTCTAAGGCCCTCAACTACCAAGGCCTGCTCTACCGCCAAGCCGAAATTCGCCGTATTAAATACTCGTGGCGAACCGACCAAGAACAGGAGCGTCCGAGGAAGGATAATGAATCTAGAGTAGAGTCATGCGGCATGAGTGGGAGGCCGCAGTTGAAGTGTAAATTGGCCGAGCGTGGCTTCCAGAATGCGCAGCTATTACTTAGGTCTGTCTAGATTGGCAAGGCAGATTCTCTCAGGCTACAGTTATCGCCGTTATACTTTCATTACAGTCCAAATATGCTGTGACTGCGTTGTCGCCTGCAGTGCGGAATGCGTAAATTCTGTGCACTCGTTAAAAATATGCCCCCAGTGCCAGAAGGAAAATAGTCGATCGTTCTCACCCAAGCCGCCGACAGCAGGGTTGAGGATTCTAGACTTGGGCACAGGCTTGGACATGGCCGCGATGTGGGCGTTTCTCAAGGAGCTTCACAGGAACACTATCACTTCGATACCGCTACGGGACTGTTTTGACGTCGTGTAATGCGATAACGCTTCGGGCCTGCCCCTCGTAATTAGCCTTTTTGCAGAGGAGTGGTTCCTTGATGAAACAGCATACCATGTACGGCGAGCATCAAAGGCCAAGATACGTGGGGGGTCGATCACATTTGGCCCCCACCTGGACTGGCCCCTACGAGTCCTTGATCGCGCAAGCGGCACTAAAGTCATCCGTCACCAGCCAGTTCCAGATGATCATTACCAAGGAAGGAACACTGTAATTAGGTACGATGCTACCGCCTTCGGCATAGAGATATTACATGAAGACCCGTTGTTGATCAAAATTACTAGTTTCAAGAGTCGCCTTTGCGCCTTGATGAGGTATTTTCAACTTTATTACCGGAAAATGTTAGGTGCGATTCGTGAGAGGGTCTCGAATCAGTTGTTTCTCTCGTCTATTCACGTTCTAGCCTCCAGGGTGCAGGATGGGCGAGGAGGGCCTTCAGCTCGAGCTGTATGACGCTCATTTTGGGAACCTAGACCCTCGCTGCCTATTACCTAGGCATCTAGAGCGACAACCTCTCCTCCGGTAGCCCCAATTGGACAAGCGTGATCAGCCAATGCACCTGCCTACGCGGCAATGTGAACGATTTGAACGATAAGGTCTTGCAGGTGGAGGAGGATGAATAATGTGCAGAGGAAAGTTCGCGAAGTAGAAACAAAGCTAGCTGAATGGAAGGCCGAGATGGCCAAGGAAGGGGAAAAATGTTTCGAGCCACAAGAGGTGCCGACAGTGGAAATCGCAGACGGAGGTGAAAGGGATGAGACGAATAACTCAAATGCTCCTGGCCTCGAGTCACACTAGATCCGGTGAGGGGCTTTACAGAAAGAGCTGAGAGAAACGAAGCGGGCAGATAGCGTGCCCCTCGATAACAATGGCGGGGGCCGAGCTAAAATCTGAATTGAGTCTGTTGGCATCGTGCGCATGTTTGCTCTTTGCTTTATGCTGTGTCCATGGTGAGACCAAATTATTCATGTCGAGAATATTTGGCATGTGGTGAACCGTGTCTCGGCGAGGAACCTCGCGTGCGGATCGGCAATACGTACTGTGTTTACAGCCACACTTAGTCCCAAATCAGCTAGTAAATCATTTTGCTTATTACAATAAGCGGACACTCGTTTCGGTCTATCCTGTATGGTACTGTACTGTATAACAAGTGATTTAGGTGCACGGTTGAGACCCAGGACTTCCTAGCTTCGAAGAATGTACTATCACAGGCAATTCACCAGGCCCAGGCTCGGGTTGCCTATGTTCGAAGCTCAACTGGGAGAGTCGCCTGGCGAAGCTGCAAGCGGTGTGGCCCGGTCCATTGACAACATTCAAGCATGTAAGAAAACGATGCAGCTCCTCGCCCCCTTTTTGATGTGCATCCCCCACCTGGTAATAAGGCCCTCCCTTTTCTACTCAAGCCGGAACAGCAATTGCCTGCACCTCCGCTGGCGTTACAAGGGGGAAGAATCCAGGCAGAAGTTAGGGGCTGCTACTTCATAGCTGATTCTCGCATTCATCCGCGGCCTCAATTATCGAAACAAAATCACACACAGGCTCTGTCTCCGATGCCATATCTTTCAAACTCAAAACCCACGCCGACGAGCGGCTGGTGCAACTTAGGCACAACAAATGGGCGGATCGCGACTCGAGACTAGAACAGAGACTTGGTCATCCTACCCAATTATTAAAGTTCATCAACGGCGCTTTGTCGGGATAAATGGGAGTGTTTCTAATTAAGACAATACATGACAGTGACCACCGTACGTGCTCGACGGCCAGGGAAACGATCAGGCCTGTGAGGCCTTAGTGAAAGCACTGGACGTCCTTTAGCACCCAGTATCGAGGCTTTGTAGCGCTGCCTCGAAGAACCGACCCATTAGATTGTCACTGCCATGACACAGGTATGCCTGTCATCAGTGAGGCCATTGCCTTCGGGTCAAGCACCTCTTCCAAGCTGAGCCAGGACATGAACTTCTTCTCCTGTTCCTCGTCTTTGCCCACAGCTTCGGAATATAGCGGCGTCTTATTCTTGCAAAACGTCCGTAGCTCCTTGCAGGCCAAGTCCCCTTTGGTTCTGAGATACTCGCGCATAACGTCCCCGCAGCTCATGATAATTCGACTGACGATGGTGCTACTCTGAAATTTCGAAGCAAGGCCTAATTCCTGCGATGCAGCGGCGGAGCCACAGGCGACGTCATGGATGAGAATAACAAGGTTGGAGATCATGGACTCGTCAGGCATGTAGCCAGCTGTAAAGTACTGGACGAACTTGTGGTGCTCTTTGTCACGAATTCGCCGCAGGATCTCGATTGATCGCCGATGCATGCCAAAGTAGTTGAACATGAGCACCGGCTCCTCCTCGTGCAACTTTGTCCGGACCAGCGCAAGGAATTGAAGGGCGCCGAGGTTGTGCTTGTTAGACCACTTCTCCAACAAAAAGTCCTCTGGGTTGGTAGGGCTCGGGGCTTTCTTGTACCGTTGAGCTCCCTTCTCAGCAATGGGAGAATCGTTGATAAGCTCGTCCAGCAACTTGTCGATGTCGGCGTTGGCAATGTTGCGTCTCTGTTCGGGCTTGGTGTAGTTGTCCCGGAACATGTTGGCGACTTTGGTCGTGGGTTGAAGAAGTCGATTGCTCTTCCCATCCGGGCGATGCCATTGCTTTGTATTACGGGCGTCGCGAGCGAATCTGGAAATGGAGGATATGCCCGTTGCTACCTCAAGCCTGTTAAGCGACTCTGCCGCATTCTTGGGCCTCTTGCCGACAAAGATACGATTCTCGCCATGGATGCCTATAAATACTTCGATATCTGGCCAGCTAAGCTTTGCTTCAGGGACATTCTGCACCAGGTTGTACAGAAATGCCATCTGCTGGACGTCATACCACTGGTTCACTAAGCCTTGGCCAATGAGCTGCATGCGGAGGGTGATGTGGAACGTCATCAAACCACAAAGGATAGGGCTCTTCTTAAAGAATAACTGCTCATCATGTGTCTGGCGTGAGTCCGCAAGTTGCCATAATGCATGTTGAGGATCGCGCTTGATGTTTTTTTCGATGCAATCCTGAATGTTGTCGATCTCTTGGTCTCCTTGTTTAGGCCAGAATGCAGGCTTGGGATGTGTGGCAGAGAGTGCCTTAAAGTCAGCAATAGTCTTTGAAACGCGCAGTCCCGCCATACGGAGATCGTTCCAAGCTCTGGCGGGACTCGACCTCAGCGTGTGTTGGATGTCGAGAGAGATCTGGGCTGCGAAACACAGCCATAAAGTGGTTTTCTTGGTTTTAGCAAACTCAAGAAAGCCGTGGGTGAGCTCGTCACGGACCGGCCACTGGGAGCCGCATGTCTGCATCAGGCAAAACTCTGGCAGGAGCTCAAGCAGAAGTATCTTGTCCTCCTGGAACCTCTCACCGACGGACATGCGGCACCTGTCGGCCTTTTGGTCGATCACACCAAAATAGCCTTTTATAAGATCAGGTATGTCGGATTGATGCATTATGGGTACAAAAGACTGCAGCAAAGTGCGTGTTGGGACAAAATACCAATCGGCTACATCAGCCATATTGACATCGAATGTCAACCCGGGTTCAATAGACGTATGCTCATAGTGGCCGCGGAATATACAGGCGGTATCGTACAACATTTTCTGCAATGCAAGCTCATCACGATGGAGCTCAGGGAACACCAACGGGTCGTGTATGAGATCCTCGATCGCGGCCCTGGCAAGCTGTAAAGCAGTGTCTGTGACCACAGAGGCGGTCATGAGGTCGAGTTTGTTATCGCGATACTCTTCCCAGGTTTGCGAGATGAAGCTTCGCATGTTCTGAAGATCCCGGAACAGACAGAAGACTTGGAAAAAGGCGTGAGACACGTAATTCTGCTCTGAGTTTTCAGCGTCCACATCGTCCTCTTCAACTACCTCGACTTTGACGAGCTGCTTGGGAGAAGTACTTGGCTCCTGAACCTCTTCAGGGTTCTCGACGGTAAGGATGGAAAAGTGGTTTATCCAAGCCTCGTCGATGGCCTTTGCATCCATGTTTCCGTCAGAGAGGGTCGTTGCTGCAGAAGACGTGTTCCAGTCCTGTTCTAGAGGATGCTCGTTTCTTTGCCATTCTAGAGACTCGCAGATCTCCTCCAGGACCTGGACGAAATGAGCGTGTCGTTTGTTTGATGCAGAATCGCCTTCTCCGAGGAACCAGAGGGTGGCTTGCTTCCTCAGTGTGACAGCTCGACGGGCTACGGCGAGGATGTGGCTTGGGATTTTTAAGGAGGACTTGGCCACCACCCGACCAAGGTTGCGGAGCTCAGAGACGGTGGCTTTGTATCTCAGTGGCGGCATGTGTGCAGATTTGGTTTTTGCCTTGCTCCTTGTCTTGCTTGCGCTGTTCATGCTATTGGCGGGGTCGTCGCCGGCGAGTCTTAGATTGGATTCATACCCGCATTTCTCGGCGGCGGCGAGGAGCCATGTTGCGAAACGGTCTGTGTCGTCCTTGTACTGAGCATAACTGCTCCGGAGGGATTCAGGCAACATGTTGCAAATCACTTGAATGCGACGCGATATCTTCTGGCGGTAATGGTGGTGTGTTCGTGGCAGTTGAGGCTGGCAGCCGTAGCAGGGCAAGAACTGTGGATATAAGTGACGTGCCTGCACCCCATCTGGACATCACCCGATCTGGGCCGCCCCACATCCGCATACGCGCATGCACGCGCCTGTACCCCGGTAGCATGCTGATTCGCTTTTCGGAAATGCACCCGACCGCCCCCTTTGACCGCTACTTCTCTGTGTCTCTTTTGCGCCTCGCCAAGTCTTTCACACGTTACTGCGCGCAGACGATCGGAAATCATTGTCAGAAGGGCATGGCGGGAGTGATTAACCAAGATTTTGACTCTCCAAATACCCTGGCCGCTTACAAGGCCAAAGCTGCAGCGACGAACTCAAGCCTCGTACCCCTCACGCGCCATATTGACGGCTAGTGAAGGAAAACTTTTCGGGAGGATTCTTGTTAGGGAATTGAACAACAAATTTGCATTCTTTTGACGATCATTACTTAGACTCATGACTTGCGGATCTTGCCTATGATCAACATGTCCAGTGCTTCTCGTAGTCTGTTAATCCAAGGTATTAGTGGCTGGTAGTACGGAGTCAAGTTCTCTTCTGCGGATCTGATAAAGTCCTCTTCATCAGATGCTTATCCCTTCTTCTCCTTTATTAACAATTCCATGCTAATGCAATTCCATTGGTGAAACTCAGGAATGACCCTAGGCTTAGCCGTGTACGCTGACTCGTTTTGGGCTGGGCCCGACTTTTGACCCATAAATTCAATGAAAAAGGCGCTCCCTCCTATGTGTGCTCAATGCCTTCGAGAAAGCCTTCACCTTCTTTGAACTATCCTCAATCCTGCTAGATTTGGGAACTGACACTCAGAGTAAGATTACTGCTTTGGAGGAACAAGACAAGGTTTGAGAAATGACAACCGGAAATTGTTGTCTGCGGCGGTCTGTTGGCATGAGGCGTTTGAATTTTAATGTATTTTTCTGTAGCTTGACTCCGACTATAGACAAGGTGAAGACAATGACGGTGTGGCACAGTACGAGTGAGCAGGTTCGTGCTGTCTTCAAGATTCTGCGATGAGATTACACCCATGCGATTGTGAAAGTGGTGGGTGGACTCAAATTCTTAAATGAGGACCTGCACAAGATATTGCACAATGATTCATTCCACTCGTCTATCTTAAAGCAGTGATGATGCTAGGGGTTGGATTGAATTGACAAATTTGAGGTACTTACAGTTAACTAACCCCCAACTTTCCTCCTCGCCACCCACCCTCCATCAACCTCATTTTTACGACGCAATTTTTGGCATTCATCACAACCCCCGCGAGTGTAAAAGCTTGGTTGAAAGAAAATCAATGCACCGAAAGAATATCAATGCACCGGAAGAATATCAATGCGGTGCATTGACATTACGTGAAGCAGCTAGCACATGGAGTGGCATTGGGCACATTCTCCAACCGCAAAAACGGCACGGTTAGTGGAACGGGAAGCTAGTCTAAGGAAGACGAAGCTATCGCCGTCGATGGAGGCATATTTTTTGGTCTGGTTCCTCGCAGAAGGACAAGGGAGACTCCCTCCTTCCCGGGCCACAGTCCATCGCTTCGCACAAGCCACGGTCGATGTCGCCGGCATCGACCATGCCCCGGGCAAAAGATAAGGTATCATTCTGAGAACAGTTTCCTGCAAGCCGTGATGCTTGAAAGACTTAGCTGAGGCAGCGTGGTTGGGAACTGTGATATACGCAAGCGCAAGACGTCAAATGGCGGAGAGGAGGATGAAAAAGCAGAGGAAACAGGAAGTGTGGAGAGGTTGCCTCGCAAGAGGCGCACCAACCTGAGCAGAACCGGGAATGAGTAATGTGAATGTTGCTCTCATGAGCTGTAATGGTCGGGTACATCTGCCAAAACTACACGCCCGTCTGGGACGAGGAAGTTATTGGAAAAAACGACAACTAGATACAACTCTGTTAAAACAGGTTGGTCACTGTCCGAGTTTAGTAGACTTTCTTGCTAGATTTAATTGGCTGCTCTAATAGGGCTAGTAACCGAGATCTCGTATAACTGTAATTCTAAAAGCTCTGTTAAAGGAGTCTATTAACGATACGTATTATAGTCGGCCTAGAAGAGGATATAATAGATGATTAGGATGTTATCACTAACTAGTTTAAAAAAAGGTTACAATTGCCTGTTTGTTATTAATTCTCCACCTCCTGGTTTTCACTGTCGGTGTCTATCTGCCATGCATTCATGGCGAGTAATGTTGACTGTGTATGTTGGTGGTTAGGACCAAGCATATGTTGTTGAGATCCATAACAAACCCGTATTAGGCGAAGAGCGTCTGTATGACGGCCCATACTTTTCCAAGTAAAGGCTAGATTGTTCATGCTGGTCAGCGTTAAGGGATGCTCCTCTCCCAGCACCCTCTTGAATGTCTCCATTACCTGTACAACTAGCGACTCGGCCTCTGACCACCGGCCCTGGTTCCCATATGTTGACGCCAGGTTGCTCATGCTGGTCAGCGTGTCGGGATGCTCCTCTCCCAGCACCCTCTTCAACGTCTCCATTACCTGTACAAACAGCGACTCGGCCTCCTTCCAAAGTCCTTCACCGTAATATACCCTGCCAAGTATTGTTCCAAACAAGCACTCGTGCTCTTTCAATGTCTTAGCTCCATCCCAAAATCCTCCCCATTTCCCGGGAGGTGCATAATCAGGTGTCGCCGGAAGCCCGGCTTGTGCTCTTCTATCATCTGACAGCACGCGGCCACTATAATCATCATATACCACCACCGCCACCGTCGACCCGCATCGTCCTGCGTCGCCCGCCACTGCACCATGCTATGCATCGTCACTCCGGCCCACTCCCCTCCCACCCGCTGCAATAAGCTATAGCGGACCAAGATATCACGCGCCCGCCGGTACCGAAAGCTGACCCACTCGCCTCTATCGCAGGGGAGAAATTGCCGGAGCCCACTGGGTATCCCGTCGTCTGGCCGGTCGCCAACTTCGGCGTCCACGGCTGCCATGCCGAGACTGGCCAGGCGGAGCATCTCGTCCTGCACTATCGTGCCTCTGAACTGTGCAAGAAATGTCAGCAGCAGCCCGGGCTGCAGATCCGCGTGTTCTGCCCTGATCTTGTCCAACGTCGTCTGCCAAACCGTCCACACTGTCTTCTGCGTCGGCAGTAGGCCGCGGAAATTATCCATCCGCAAGAGCTCGTCACGGTGCCTGTCGTAGTCCTCGATGTACTGCAACAGAGCCTGCGTAGGCGTAGCATCGTTGCCGATATAGGCGCCTGCCAGCTCAACGGCAAGCGCGAGATATCCAAGCTTGTCCGCTACTTCCTCGCAGCGGCGCCGCATGTCCTCGGCGACCGGCTGGAAATCCATCCGCAGGTGTCGCAGAAGAAGCGCCGATGCCTCGGCTGGCGACATAGTACCAACCCGAACCTGCTCGCAGCCTCCAGGCACCAGCCACGTGCTCTGCTCATCTCAGCTCGTAATGAGGATACTTCCCCACCTAGGTTTGTCCTCGCCCAGTACATGGATCAGTCTGGATTCGGCGAGCTGTGCTGCCATCTCAGGTTGGAGGGAGATCATGGCGTCGACGGGGTCGGGGTAGGCCTTAAGGGCCGCGAGCATCGTGTCATCGACGATGTGCTCGTGATGAAAGTCGGAGGAGGCAACCGCGGCATCGTTGACATTTTCTGGCGGCGCAATAACGACCTGTTGCGATGCATCGCGAAGGGAACTGATGACTCGGTCGGACCAGGTGAGAATGAGCAGGAGCTTGAACGATAGAGAAGAGCGCATCTTGTCGGCTTATGATGATTCTGGCTTCTCGACAAGTACTGATCAAGCCACTCAAGAGTCAGTTGCAGGAAATGAGGAGACAAGAAGAAGATATCGTGCTCGTATGTCGCCGGAGTCTTGGTCGTTCAAGCTGAAGCTCAGGAGCTGGAGGGTTGCCTGGATGATGCAATGCGGACCAACGCGCACCCCCGAGCCTCGGCGCGATTGAGCCCCGATTCCAGGGGTACAGCCTGTCAGCCCCCGCCGGATAACACTTGAGCTTGCTATTGGGCCACAGCTAACAACCCCTGGTCAAGCTCGTGAACCACAGCAGAAGCCAACAGAGGAGATATCCATCCCAAGTGTTCATTTTTGCTCAGAGGCTCAGTGCTGTTGTTCTGCCCGTGAAACTGTGAGCCAGCTGATGAACACTTGCAATTCGACCACAGAGCTTCGTTTGTAGGTATGGCAAAGCAATAAACCTCCCACACCCAGAGTGTAGACATCCAACAGGTTGGCGAACGACAAGCAACATGTCACTGGCTTGCCTCGTCACAGACTGGCATTTTGGACTCACTCTACCGACGAACTGGCTCAGCAGCACCATCTCACGGTGGGGAACTGGGCCCGTGAGCTATCACACCCAATCACCACGCCACGAGCTTTTGCGGTCTATGGTTTGTATCCTTGCCATGACCAGAGAAGATGACGGAGGTTGACATGAGTTCATCGACCGTTTGACAAATGATATATAAATTCGCCGCCTAGCACAGTGTAATCTTTACACATCCAACACTTGTACCCAAGCACGCGTTCTGACCCGTTTCATCGAACTGGGGTTGCCGCACAATAAGAATGAATCGAGCTCTAAAGGTTACTGGAGTTCAACCACAGACAGCCTCATGTGTTATAAGCAATAAACTTCTATTTTAATGTCACAGGCCATAGTAACTAGCGCGCTATGCCAGCCATACAGTATGGCACATCGTCACATGTAAACATACAGCATGGCTCGTATGCATCCAGGCAGTTCGGGAAATCCAAACAATTCTGTAGCCTCCTACTTATCAACCTCAGTTGGCACCTAACACTCGTCAAGGCCGACTCAAGCGAGAATCTAATTGAAGAGATACTCCTGAGAAGGGCATCCTCTAAAAACACCGTTCCTATACAGAATTCTTCATTATGAAGCCAATACCCTGCCGCACCCAGATGATCCTCTTCTCCTTGGGACTCGTAGGGCGGAGGGGGTTTCCTTTGTGGAGAATAAAAATCAACCTGATTTGCAGTCCTTGATTTACGAAAAGCGTTCTGTTCATGAGTTTTGGGAGTCCTGGGCCAAGGATGAGCATGCGATGCAGCAGGGTCACCAGTGAGGTAATGCGTTGGTCTTGACTACACCTTAGAGCCTCACAGCGCCCGAGATGATGTCAGGACTCGGTACACCAAGACGATCTAGGACTACACCAGGTTCTGCAATGCCGCTGCCAGGTTTTGATGGTCTTCACGTTACCCAGTGGTGTTTTTGTGCTTCCCCTTGGTAGATAAAGCCATCTGAAAT